AATAGACTTGAGCAAGTCACTTAACTTCTTTGTCCCTCTGGTTCCTCATCTGTAAAATGGGGAGAGGACCACTCCCTCTGCAGGACTGTGGTAAGGCTGGATATCCCAAGCTCAGGAACTCTTACTACACTCCCCCTCCTCAGCTCTCTCCAAGGGGTGATTTGACTCCCTCTAACTGCCAGGCAGGCTTATTAGCTACTAGGTACCTGCTTCCCCAGGGCCCCCAGGCATCCTCATTGGATGGGGCTGGAGTTTGGGCCACACTTGGTCTAGCCCATCCCTTCACACTTGTGGACAGGAGCCCAAGTGCCTCCTTGCAGTGCTGGGCACAGGCTCAGAGGCCACAAATGGACAGGCTGGTGATGGAGGGATGGCCTGGGCCCCGCTAGAAGTCACTAGAGGCAAGAGGAGGGTGACCAGGGGGCACCGCCCTGGTCTGTGCAGCAGAGGGGAGGAGAGAGGAGCAAGGGAGGGAAAGGAGGGGAGGGGAGCAGGGGAAGGGGAAAGGAGGGAAGGGGAGTGAAGGGGAGCAAAGTGGAGTCTCCCTGCTTCCCACACCCAGCAGCATTCTGAACAGAGGGAGTCGTGTTCTCAGCATCTGGGAATAAAGCCATCTCCCCACCTCCTAGGAGCTCTGGTGGTATAGTGCCTAAGGCATTTGACTGCTAACCAGAAGGCTACCAGTTCAAACCCACCAGCCATTCCTCTGAAGGAAGACTGGGCAATCAACTTCCATGGTGATACCGCCTAGCAAACCCAAGGAGGGGTTGCCATGAGTCGTATCTGACTCAATAGCAGTGAGTTTCCCCCATCTCCTGGGAGACATAGCTTTCTGTGTTTACACCCCAGAAAGGGCTTCTGGAACAGGAGGGGAAAAACTGTGAGCTTTGGGGCATCCCTGTGCCTCATTTCCCAGAATGCTAGCCTAGCTCCTGACCCTCCCAGCCTGCCTGCTCCCCCCCACACATACACACACACACTGGAAACCCTTTTGGGACCAAAACTCCCAGATGGAGGCAGACTGGCTCGTTGTAGGACAGTGGCCTGCACACTCTATCCTGGAACTCGCACTTCCCTCCTGGGCTGTAGGGCGGAGGCAGACAGGTTGCAGGTAGATGAGGCAGGGTGCTCTTGCACAGCCCAACTTAGGGCCTGCGAGGTCCCAGTGCCAGAAGGGATCAGAGGCTGTGGTTCCAATGTGTGTGTGTGTGGGGGGGGGGGGGTTAGGTATACAGTGCTGGGGGGTGTTTATGGCATTTCTCCAAGAAGTCTTCCTCTGGCAGCTGGGCACAAATGCCCCTGAGCCTCCCCCAGCCCTTTGCTCTGTATTCAGCCAGGGCTGGGGGCTGCTTGGAAATGGTTATGGTCCTTCATTGGTGAGTTTAACATAACGAGGCCCAACTAGCAGGAGTCTTCTGGAGCCCACATGTCCACACCGAGGCTCCCTGCTGAAACGGCTGTTTCTGGGAGGGATCATTAACTCCAGACACCCTCCATCCCAGGTAGCCAGCCCCTCAGACTTACTGAGCTCTTCAGGGCGGGGGCTGTGGGAGCGGCAGACAGTACAAGCTCCCCCTCCCTCCTCAAAGTCACCCCAGCCCCACCCTCCTACAGCTTCTATGGGCAGCCAAAGGAGGATCTGAGAACCCCACACACACACTTCTGCTGTGCTTCTGCGTGCAACAAAGTCCAGGCCTCCTGGAACCGGGCCTCCACCCCCCCTTCCCCTCCAGCCCCCCTCCCTGGCCACGCGGGTGCTATTCATCTCGGATGGTGTGAGCCAGGAGCCCAGTGAGTTTCCCACACTTTGGCCCCATTCATAGTGTTAAACGGCCCACAAAGGCCGGGCGTGTGCCTCAGAGGCCTCCTGAGCTGCAGCGGGGCAGCCATCTGGCCCGCACCCGGGGTGGGAGCAGGCCTTTCATCCGGCCAGGCGGCCACCCCCACCCCTGACCGCGCCGGGAGAGGATTTAACACCATTCATTTCATATTTCCCACAATCAAAAATTGGATCAAAGCTGCTCAGTCTTGGGGAGGGAGAAGAGGATGGGAGACAGTGGCCCCTTCAGCCCACTTGCCACCTTCACCCTGGCCACTGCGGGTGGGCGGGTGGTGGGATGAGGGGGGCCGGACTCGGCTCCAGGCACGTGTCTCATTTGGCTGTGGAGCCAGCTGGGGGTGGGGGGAAGGAGTAGGACACCAGCCCTAGCCAACTGTCCCTTCCGATGCCCGGGTCGAGGGGAGCTCCTGTCTGGGCACCACCGCCCACATCTGGGTCCAGCTCTGGGGTCCTGCTACCAGCAGCCGAGCAGCCATGGCACACGTAGGCTCAGTCTCCATCCCCAGTGTCCATCCCAGGGTCAGCCTGGGCTGGAGGCTCCACCCTCGTCCCTGTAGCTCTACCCAGCTCTTGCTTGGTTAAGTACCTACTTGGTGCTGGGCCCTGATCTGGCAGGATGTGGGTGATGGAGACACAGATGACTGCCATCCTGCCCACTAGCCCCAGCCAACCCACAGGGGACACCATCGTGGACAGACACAAAGTGTGATGGCCACCCAGCAGGGGCCCCTTTTGGGCATCCACTGGTGTCCACTTCAGCGTGGGGCCTCTGACCTACCCTGAGGCTCTCAGTGCTATGAGAACCCAGGGCTGTCCACAGCTTTGGCACCTTAACTCCACGCTTCCTTTGCCCTTTTGCACCAGACAGGGGCCACATGTCCACAGAAGCATACTGGATGCTCACAAAGGAGCTCTCAGCTCTGGCAAGACTGCCCCAGGCCTCAGCTTCCCCTTTTCCCACAGCTAGCCTGGGGCTTGTGTCCCTTTCAAGGGAGATGCTGTCAGAGGAGAGAGAGGAGGAAAGGTGAGGAGGGGCTCCCTGCCTCCTTTCTCTAAAGTCACCTGGAGGTTCCACCTCAAGACTCTCCCTGCCCTCCCCACCAGCATAACCCATCCCAATGGGGGACCAGTTGGCCAGTCCTTTTCCCAGCTCCAAACAAAACCCTAGCCTGATGTTCTGGCACTAACCTGTCCTCTCCACTGACGGCTCCACTGCTAGGTCCCTTGTTCTGGGGACATCGGAGTCACATCCACCTAACAGGCCACTCCTGGCTGTGGGTTACTGACAAGACCAAGCCCTTATTTGTTGTTGTTAGTTGTTCTTGAGTCAACTCTGACTCATAGTGACCCCATGTGTGCAGAATAGAACTGCTCCATAGGGTTTTCAAGGCCATGACCTTGAACCAGATTGCCAGGCCTGTCTTCCAAGGTGTCTCTGGGTGGGTTCAGCTAATAGTTGAGCATACAACCTTTCAGGGGTCCAGCACATAATTGTTTCCATCATACAATTCCCAGCCACAGGTGGTCAAGGCTACAGTCTATAGAACTGTGCCTCTGGATTTTAACTCTGGCTAAAGTGCCCAATGCCAGCCCCTGGTCCCAGGGGCTCCAGGCCCTGCTTACCCCTGGAACCTGGCTGGGTCCCACCTGCCCCTTCTCTATATGGTGCTGGGGGAATGGGGGTAGGGTGGTGGGGCTAGAGTGCAGCCCAACTCACACTCATTCTCTCAGTCCCTGCAGCCTGCAGGGATCAGAAGGAAGGGACTGTTTTGGGTAGAGGGGGCTCCCAGCAGGCCCTCCCCAAAGGGCCAGGGTTGGAGCTGGTGGTATGATGCAGCCACTGGCTCTCAGCCACTGGCCCTCAGCTGGCTGGTCAAGTACTGGAATTGTCACATTGCCTACTGGGTCCCTACAGAGCCAGTCTGGGTTGGTACCACATCCATGTGGACCCTAGGCCTGCCCTGCTCAGGCCCTCCTGGTGTACTCCTGATGCCCCTCTGGCGAGATGCCTGAGAAAAGGAGACCCCAGAAGTGCCCACTGGGTTGTGCAGAATGGTGATGGGAGTGGGGGCAGGGAGCTGTGGCCTCCCACCAGTCAGCTGAGCCCTGAGAGCCTTCTCTCAGCTCAGAGGCTCACCTGGGCCCCAGGCAGGTGTCCCTAGCCCACACTGGGGTGAGGCCAGCAGAGAGACCATTCAGTTGCCTGAGATGCCCCCAGACTCTAAGGGAGCTGTTCTGGACCAAGTATGTCCAGAGCTGTGAGCCTCTGCACGCAGAACAGGCATGGCTGGACTCCCAGCCAGATGGGGTGGTGTGAGGCCCAAGCACCTCAATGCCTGTCAGCTGCTCTGGGAGGCTGCATAAGTGCCAGGCTCCACGTTGGGCACTCTGGCTCCCTGAAGAGCACTAAACCCCAGCCAGGGAGGCAGGCTGCCAGTTTTCCAGCCTTGGGAGAGGTCACGTATCCCAGGAGACACAGCCAGGGGACTTGCAACACAGCCGCCAGACCTCATCCTAGGAGCCAGGGTCTCTCCTTCACCACATCCACCTATGGGCCAAGTGACAGGACGCCTAGCCAGGAGACATTTGGCCCCTATGTCCCCTCCCAGCTGGGCATGGGTCCCTGTCAGGGAGAGTTCAAAAGCTTCTGGAAGCCTCTGCACTTGTTAATTCCAAAGCCTGTCCCTTATCCTCGCTTGTGGCCTCTGCCAGTGGGGGAACAACATCCCCAGGCCAGGAGGAGGGGAGGGGTAGGGAGGGGCTGTTTCTTCCTGCCCTGCACATCGCCCCCCCTCCAGAGTCCCTGCAGCCTGGGAAAAGGCAGCATATTGAGCCTCGGGTCTCAGCATCAGGCCCGGGATGCTAATGAGGGAGAACGTGTTCCCACAGCCTGGACATTGTGCCGCGCGGCCCACCTGCTCCTCAGGGAGCGCCCATTGTGCCCGCGCCAATTCACAAGCAATTTAGCGTGCGCTAATGGGCCGGCGCCTTTGTGCGGCCCGCGCTGCCATTGGCCACCGAGCGTGGGAACAGCCGCGGCGCCCGGGCCCCATGCCCCGGCCGCGCCCGCGCCTATATCAGGCGGCTCGCGCCCAGCCCAGCTAGCGCCTGGCCCGCCGCCTCCGCCCGCGCCCGCTCCCGCTCCTCCGCGCCCGCCGGCATGGCCCCCAGCACCGTGGCCGTGGAGCTGCTCAGCCCCAAGGAGAAAAACCGAGTAAGTGCCAGCCCCGTGGTTTCCGCGCCGCGAGGTCTTTCCCTGAGCGGTCTCCCCTGGCCCACCGGCCCCCAGGTCCGCTCCCTCTGACGTCCTCTCCTCCCACAGCTGCGCAAGCCGGTGGTGGAGAAGATGCGCCGAGACCGCATCAACAGCAGTATCGAGCAGCTGAAGCTGTTGCTGGAGCAGGAGTTCGCGCGGCACCAGCCCAACTCTAAGCTCGAGAAGGCTGACATCCTGGAGATGGCCGTCAGCTACCTGAAGCACAGCAAAGGTGAGCGCGCAGCCCGCCCTCCTGGTCCCTGGATTCTCGCGCCCCGTGTCCCTGCTTCCCGCCCTCCAACACCCGCCGCCTGCTCACCGCCTGTCTCCCCGCAGCCTTTGCCGCCGCCGCCGTTGGCCCCAAGAGCCTGCACCAAGACTACAGCGAGGGCTACTCGTGGTGCCTGCAGGAGGCCGTGCAGTTCCTGACGCTGCACGCGGCCAGCGACACGCACATGAAGTTACTCTACCACTTCCAGCGGCCCCCTGCTGGGCCAGTCGCGCCAAAGGAAGCCCCTGCGAACAGCGCGGCTGCCCCGCTAGCGCTTACCTCCGCCAAAGCCGCCACCCCACGACAACCTGCCAGCGGCCTCTGGCGGCCCTGGTGACCTGGACGCCCAGGACCAGAGGGCGAGCTGAATCGTTCCTCTCCCGAGTAGGGAAGTGCCTTCCCATCCCCTCGGTCCAGCTTGGACACCTCTCCAGAGGGTTTCCTCCCTGGCTGGCAGGCCAGCAGGGGAACCATTCTCAGAGAATGTGTGCGGCCCTTGTCATTTTATGACCATCAGGGCCCATCTTCTGTGGAGAGAGCTGCAGTGAGCCGGCGTCTGACCCCAAGGGGTCGTTCTGTGTTTGCATTTCAGCAAGTGACTTCCGGGAAGTTCCGGCCACAAGCCGGGGTCTATGATATTTGTAGGCATTGGGGCTGGCAGTAGAGGACTTTCTTCAGGCCCATGGCTGTGGGCGTGCCCCTGGCGGTGGTGCAGTGGGCGCATCTTGCCTTTTGTGAAGGCGAACTCAGAGTGCATCCTCATAGGAGAGCCGGTAGCAGCCTGAGGGCACAGAAGAGCTGTGTGGTGGTGCCTTTACTGAAAGGTCGCTGCATGTGCTCAGCTGTCCAGTCAGGGCTCATAGTGGGCTGTTTGGGGTGGGTGGGTCCCCACTACAATCCTTAAAGGATTCCTTGGTGTGGGTGCGCGTGGGTGCAACGTCTGTACTCAGTATTTGAACTCTGTCATGCGGACTGCTCTGCAGGCTTTTAATAAAATCTGACTGTTGAGTCCTCATCTCCTCTGGTACCTTACAAGGGCGTCCTTGGCCTGCACGGCAATGGGGGGGATTGGCAAGGGTGGAGGCAGGGATGAAGGCAGGGGTGAAGGAGAGTAAGCATCGCTAGGGTGTACAACCACAGTAGTGAATCTGCTTAGTAGTGACCCTCTGGCTTCTGGAAGAATGTCTGGGTCCTGGCCTGGGAAGGAGGGGAGGCACAGGGAGGGAAGGGGGCCACAGAGAGGAAGAAGAGAGGGAAAGAGAGAAGAGCTGGAAATGAGGCAAAGAGGAGGCAGGGGAGAAACTGGTAAGGAGGTGAGGAAGGAGGGGGGAGCAGGAAAAGAGGTGAAGTAGGAGAGAGAAGGAAGGAAGGGAGAGAGGGGAGGGGCAGGCTGGAAGGAGAGGGACCTTGTAGACTGCATTCCCTTCTGTGTAAGAGGGGAAGCCAGGCTGGAGACCTGGGTTCCAGCCCCAGGGCTTTCACTAACTCCCTACAGTTGGGGGTGGGGACATAGTGAGAGGTAAGGGCCAACCCTTCCTACTCTTTGGCTGGGGACCTATAGTCTCTTGCCCGCACCTTGCTGCAGTCAAAGTCGACTTGGCTAGGCCAAACAAACAGGAGGAAATGTTTCCAGCCCCTGCCCCTCCCCTGCAGCCTGCAGCCACCTGAAGCCCTGGCAGGAGCTCCTGGAGGCACCTGTCTGGCTAATCCCCAGTTATCTACCCTGTCCTCCCAGCCACTTGCCAGGCTGTAAGAGGCAGTGCTGGTGGTGACTCTGCCAGGGCTGATCTTTTGCTGAAAGGGCATCTATTTTTAGGCAGGCTCCAGGGTGTTGGTTGAGCTTGCAAGAACCTAGAACCTCAGTGCCTAGGTGGCCAGGCCCAGGCTCCCTGAGGGGTGAAATCCTCGGAAGGAAGGTTGGGCAATCTACTTCCGTGTGATATCGCCTCGGAAACCCAAGGAGGGGTCGCTATGAGTCGTGTCCAACTCGACGGCATGTAACAACAACAAGAACAGGAGAGGCAAAGAGCAGAAAGGAGAGCCTGGGACCCAGAGACTCTCAGACACTTTGTGATGGCGAGTGGGGCAGCACGAGTCCCAGCCCTCTCAGCAATCCCTCCTCTGCCTTCTGCCTTTTCTGGCTCATTCTACAGGGCACCGTCTCCAGGTCAGCCAGGGCCTGCCAGTGACCCTCTCCAGTCACTGCTGAGCCTTGGATGTGGTGGGCAGGGGACGGGACAGGCTTGCTACAGGCACGTGGCTCCATCGTGACTAAGAGTAGCACCACTGCCTTTGTGGAGTGGAGCTTACCCATGGCCCACCCTGCTGGCTGGCCAGGCAGAGATGCTGGGTCTCCTGCTAGCCCCTCTCAGCAGCAGACCCTTCTCCACTGGGGCCACTCCTAGGTAAGCTCCACCCAGGGAAGCAAAGCCATCCCACTAGAAGGCAGCAGGCAATGTCATCACCTCTTTGCAGCCCTGCCTGATAAGCCCTGAAACCCTGCACAGGGCTCTGCATTCTGCTCTTGGCCTGCTTTAGCTCCTTCAGGGCTCTCAGGGACCTATCTGGCAGCTGGTGGTACTCACAGTTTGCAGACAGAAAAGCTGAGGTCCAGAGGCACACAGCAATGACCAGTATCACAACTGAGGGACAGGATCTGTCTGCCTCCGAGCCAGACTCTTTCCCAAAGTGCCAGTCCGTCTGAGGGGCTTGCCTTGGAAGCTGCCTCTAGCACTTCCTGTGTCCCTGCTCTGGTTGGGTCTTAGGCCTCAGCTTGTACCCTGCAAACTCCTAGCGCCACCTCTCTCTCTCTCACACACACACACTCACACACACACACTCCTCCCTACTTGTTGGAAAGCGCCTCCTCCAGGCAGATTCCCCCCCACAGTGCCTTGGGCCCCTCGGGCCCTGCTTCTCCTGCATTCTCTGTTCCCCACCAGCAGATTGCTTGTCTTCTCTAGCTGAGGGTCTGTGTCCCAGGCCTGTCTCCATCTGGAGTGTGGGCTCCTTGAGGGTAAAGTCCCCTCCTCCTCTCTGTTTGCATGGAGCTTCTAGCATTGAACATAACGTGGACGGTGGGTCACCCTATCACAGACCACATTACATGAACCCTCATGTGCAGGAGCCTAGGTTACAGCCCGTACTCAATGGGCTAAGACATAAAAAATCTGCAAGTGCCATTGCCTGTCTGGAAGTGGGAAGGCCACCTGCCCTGCCTTTTCAGCACTAGCTTAGAGGACCCGAGTTAAGCATCTGGCCAGCTCAAGGGGGAAAAAAAAAAAATCTCACAACACAGACCAGATGTTTAATGCCACGAGCCTTCCCGCTCATTCCGACCCCTCCCCAGAGCCACCCCTGTCTGCTCCAGAGACCAAGAGGGAGGAGGCAGGAGGGCGGGGCGGGTACCTCATTAGCATAATAAATGCAGAGGAGGTGTTTAGCAGTCAAATATATGCGCATATATCTCCATGGCTGATGAGACTGGCTGGGCACATTCAAAATGGCGGAGTGTGGGGCGAGCGGCAGCGGTAGCAGCGGGGACAGCCTGGACAAGAGCATCACGCTCCCTCCCGACGAGATCTTCCGTAACCTAGAGAACGCCAAGCGTTTCGCCATTGACATAGGTAGTCGCGGGCTGGGGCGCTGGGAGCGAGGCGGCCCAAGACAGAAGGGCGCCTGTTTGGGTACCGGCGAGCCGGGGGCGGCGGGAAGGACGAAGGGCGGGGCGGGGGCCGCGGCCTGCGCGGCCCGACGGGAGTTGTAGTCCTTTGGACGCCAGCGCCTTGTCTCGCGGAGGCGGCTGAACCACAGCTCCCGGCAGGCGCTGCGCGGGCCGGCGCGGGGCTTGCCGGGGCTCGTAGTCCAGTTTGCTAGCTGGGGGCTGCTAGGGAGCTGGCCAGCCAAATCGACTGTCGGCCGGGATCGGCCTCAAGCGTGCGAGGGAACGGGGTCTTGAACCTGAGGCGCAACCCCTGGGCGCCCGGGCCGTCGGTCCCCCTGTTATCCCGGCGAAGGAAGGGGTGGCCGCAAGGCAGGGGCCCTGGGACCAAGAGATGGGTTTAAATCTCGGCGGAGAGGCGAAAGGGATGGTGCCCAGCATCGCCTCCATGTCCTCGGAGGTCAGCCTGAGATTTAAGGTTGGAGCGAAGACGAAGCTGGCACCCCCAATTCCTGCCTGTCAGAAAGCGCTTCGCAGGGCGGCTCAGCAATGGCCGCGGAGCTCGCGGCGGGGACCCCCCTGCAGCCCTTCCCAGGCAGGCGGCCGCGGACCTTTGGCCAGCGGGTCTGGTCAGAGGCCGTTGGGCAGACTCGTTAGAGCAAAGCGCTGGGCGCTGGGTGCCAAGCTGGGCACCCGCTCTTTGCCTGCAGGCATTTGACATTTGGCTGCTAACGACCAGGGAAGATTTCTGTGGGAACTGGGGTCATTCTCCCGATCTTCCCACAGACGTCTTCAGGGTGTGAGACATTCACTTCTTGCCCTCTGGATCCTCCTGCCATTCCCTGTACCCTCCCAGACCTTTTGGTGGTTGCTGGGGTGCGCCCTGCCCCCTCATTCTGCAGCATCTTGATGGCTAATGCTCCTGCCTGTCCTGAACCCTTTTTAACTCTCTGACATCTCACTGACTCCCCTTGAGGAGGTGCTTGCATCACCCCATTTACAGATGAGACAGAGTCACAGAACAGGTAGACTAGCTCACGGTCACCTGGCTAGAAAGTGGCAGAGCTGGGATTGGAACGTGGCTGGCACCAAGCAGCCTTCCTGGACAGGAATTAGATGAAGCCCCTTGAATAGGCCCTGTGGTTGACCCTTTTAGCAAGGGTCTGGTCACAGCCTATGTTTGGTGCCTGTTTTAGATTGGCAAATGTATCCCATTTAAGCCCCTTGAGAGCAGGGGAAGGTTTATATTTGTACCCTCTGTGTCCTCAGGACCGACACAGTGCCCAGCTGATGTATTTGCACTCAATAAATACTCAAGTTAGTGAGCAGTGGACTGCTGCTCACTCCCTGGGATAGTTGGGATGTCCCAGGGACCCAGGCCTGCTCCTTGGAGCTGTTTGCTTCTGGTGCCCTTAATGCATTTGCAGCTCTTGTGTTCTGGGGCTCATTTGAGTCACAGACTTGATCCTTCACTGTTGTCCATGGGGTCCATTGAAGAGCAAAGGTGTGTCCCCCAGGGAAGTCAGAGTGATGAGACGGGACTGGAGGTGCAGCTGAGTCCCAGGTCCCTGCTTTGCAGTGTGCATGGCACTGGAGAATCAGGGCAACTTCCAAAAGGAGGGCATGGGGGCCGGGGCTGTGGGGGATGGCTGGGTGGGAGGTGCTTGGAGGCTGGG